GAAATCATCATTCCAGGGTTTCTTGGGTGGTGCAGGATTTCGTCCAGCCACAGTAGGTTTTTTTGATCGTTTGGTTTGGGCAATAAAATAGATGGGTTCCACTGGGTTAGATGCGTTTTTTGCCCCAGTTAATAGGGAAACCTATGTACTTTACCAACAGGACACCCATGTTCACTAGGTGAAGTCATCAGCATGTGAGCCACAATCAAAGCCCGGGTAGATGAACGTTAGTGAGGGACAATCCCACAGCCGCCTCTTGAATTTGTTTCATTTTTCTGGGTAGACCATTATGACTCCGTTGCCTTTGAAGCAAGCCGATCACAACTTAGCATGCCCAGACGTTGTTGTGACTCCCTGCAAACAAGTTAACATGTTTTTGCTTAAAACACACACGGAACTCCAAATTGGAAAACACCGGCAAGCAAGCAGGGATTGCTTCCACTCAGCTTTGGAGCAGTGGATGAATCAGGCCACAAGCGGTTGTGCAAACTCGTTGTTTAAACAAGTTTAAACCGTCATTGCAGCGTCATCCTTTGGGTTTCGAATTAACAGGGTTGGTTGTTGCTTGTTTAAGCGAATGCTTTGGAGCCTCCTGGCCTCCTGAAGAGCCTTTAAACACCTTTCTGTTTCCCTTTAAGAGGTATGGGTTGATTTAGACCAACCCCCACCCCACCCCGCCCCTCACGAGCCTGTGATGCTCGAAGGCCCGACCTCTCCTCGCGCGCCGGAGCCCCAGCGCATCGTTGGATCAAAGCGCTGGCTAGGTCCTTCAGCTGGGTGCCCTTTCTCACCCCTTTTTTGGGGGGGGGGTTCCCCTACTAAAACAGACAACAGAAAAAAGGGTACCCTTATTCTAACCTCTCTACTGGAGGACCTAGCTGGAGACCCATTACGCAGGTTAACATGGAGCACAGCAACCCCAATTCCATTTGAGACTCACAAGTTTTTAGTTACCCTTTTTGGGCCAGTCCTTCCAAGTGGGTTTCTCCTTTTGGGGGGCTCTCTTGTGAGATATTTGTTTGAGGTTAAGCCCAACTATCCCCAACTGACCGGGTCCAGAGCCGATTTGGACTGAGGACCTCACCATGCTGGCGCACGCCTACGCCAGGCTACACAGCCGGAGACCTGGCGGTTGAATGCCTTTTCCGGGAGTTTCCCGCCATTTGCTAAAGAACATGTTTTGTTTTCTCTGTTTGTTTTACAGGGGATCTAGCACTATCGGACATGTTGTTTTGTTTTTTCCAGGGACTTAAGCAATGGAGGGTTTGTACCTATTTCTTGTTTGGGACCTAAAGTTGGACCTAAAGAAGCTTCCGTGGTCTGGCGTGGTTTGGTTTGCCTTTGGTTTCCCTTTGACTCAACTCTGAAAGCACCCCACACGGTGTGAGCCACAATCAAAAGCCGGGCAAGTGAAGGTTAGTCTGGGAGAGTCCCAGCCAAAGATCGGTGCGGATACCCGCCGATTTTAGGCTTGGCATGGTTCTGGGTCGACAATTGTTGATTGTGACATGTAGTTTTCGTGACCTGAGATTCATCAATCTTGTAAATGGATATCTGGACTCTCGGGTTTTTGCTCCATTTGGACTTACCCATTTGGCCAAGTTCAAGAGACACCTCTCTACTTGTGCGTGCTTGATTTTCCGAGTGCCCCTTCTGGCTGGTTTGAAAGGAACAGCACCCGGATCCCAACCACTGCTGTTTGGACAGTACACACAGGATTTTGAGCCTGGTTGAAGAAGCAGGCAAGTTGGGAGGCCCCTGTGTTTCTTTTTCTGGGAGGTTCTCGAACGAAACCCACAGATCGGTGCCATTTGCTCTCGAGGGAGTTGGGAGTTGCCAGCTCTGTCCTTTCAAGTTTGAGGAAAACGCTTCCACATGATGATTTGCCGAACAGAGTGTCAAAAGACGCAGCTACAACACGAGCATGTTTGAATAGGAAGCTCAAAGCAAAGAGCTCCCAGGCCAGATTTGAAGAACAGGCTTCAGCACGATCATGGTTGGATCATGTTTCAATAGAAATACAATCAGGAAACGGCTCCCAAGCCATAACTCGATTACACACTTCTTTATGTGTGAAAAGTCACAGCTTCCAGGTCAGAACTCCAAGAAGCAGCTTCAACATGCGCAGTTGAAAGACACATCCCAGGGTCAGAACTTGAACTCCGCTTCAAAGTGATTGATTGAACACAATTATTGAATGAATGAAGTGTGCCCCGCGAGAATCAGAACACACAGCTTCAACATAGTCAGTTTCTTACTGGAAAGGAAACATGGCAAAGGTGCCAAGCCAAAAATCCCAGAGCTTCATCGTGATGTCTAGAACCCGAAAAGAAAAGCTCCCGAGCCAACAACATCCAACACATGCACACGCACAAACAATGCGCAAACAGCATGGGGAAAGCCCAACTCAGAGTTTGCGTATGTTTGCGTTGTGTTGTTTTTGTTGTGCCTGTGCAGGTTCTTGGTGCTTTGGGGTCTTTTGTCTTTTGTTTTGCTTCTGTCGATGCAGACTTTTGGGCGTTGGGTCGTGCGGTGTTCGGGGTAATTGGTTGCCTGTGCATGTGTTGTGCATGTGTGTTGCCAAGACACTAAACAAAACCGCCGTGAGTTTCAAGCGCAGCATGCCAGCATGTCGCTAATTACTGCAGCATGCTCTTTCTCTGAGTTTTAGATGTTCGATAGCGCAATCGAGTTTCGATATGTTCCCACGAGCGACTTATGCATGAAACCATGTCCTAGACCAACGCATGCTTAAAACACTGGAACTTACACCGACTGTGGTATTCTACTTGGTCAGCGTGGAGTATAAAACAAATGGGCATGCTGAAGTGTGGGCCCCGGGGGCTAATAGCGACTAAGTAGGGTCTAATTATTGGCCTTTTTCAGTTCCTTTCGGGGACCATTTCCAGGTCCCCTCTTTGGGGCGCCCCTGACAATCATAGGAATTTGGAGAAAGACATCCCGGGCCAAAGAAAAATCCTCGAAGGCCATTGGCCAGGAGCCCAACCCAAAACCCGAGGTCCCCGCACACCGGAGATGCTGTCCCTGGTCTCCAGGCAAAGTCCGACGCATGTTTGTGTTGAGACCCTTTTTCACCTTGGCTTCAACGAAAGCCACCAAAGCCACCCGTGTTGGGCATGTTTTCTGTTTTGCATGCTAAACTTTGGCAATTGGAGGTCCAAAAGCTTGAACGAAAACGACACGGAAAGCCATACAGCTTTAGGCTTTATGTTGCTACCACGAGCCACCGAGCCATACTTAAAACCCGAATAATTGGAGGCAGTCTCAACCATGGGTGCTACCTTTGGAGTTCTTTAGGTGGATGTGCGTATGACTCGAGTGTTGCTCCCCGAGTTCCAGGACTGGAGACATGGTAAACTGGTTTGGCAAAGCTTCCATTTGCTGAAATGATCTTGTTTTGCTCCCCTGTTGGTCTTAAAGGCAAGCGATCACTCGATTTTTGTCCAGGGTGCTTAAGCAAATGGAGGAAGTTCACTTAGGAGTTCAACAGCATGGGTTTAGTTACATCAAGCTGTTGAGTCATTTCCATATGCATTTGGTGCGATTTGTCAATGCGTGAAGTGTCAGTTTAACTGCGTGCTTGTTTACACATACCACTGAGGTGATGCTAGCATACACACGGACTCATTGCAACATGTACAACATCATGGCAAAAGGTCATTTAATCACAATATGTGCATTGTCGCCTGAAAGCTTTGATTTTCGCAAGAACACATGACGGATGATCAAATCTGACGGGTTTCAGAAGTTTCCTTTTGCCAGGGACTAAGTATTTGTTTCGCTTGTGGCGATTGCTTGTAGTCAGAAGAACCCGAGGCTAGACGAATACTAGTGACTAAACTATTCACTTTCTGATCAGAGATGGAGCCGCTAAACACCTTTCGGGAAGCATCTCTATCTTCAATTCGGAGAGGTTGCGGTGCGTTCAGTGAGTGAGTCTTGTTGCTGCTTGTTGGTCTGGCCCAGAAAAAGTGGCTGCAGGGAAACTGCTGTGGTTGGACGAACTGGTATGATTCCCCTGTAAACACCCACAAAAATGGCGTCAACTTCAACCATGGTTCTTAAATATTGCACAATGGATTTCGTCCAGCATTATGAGCTTGTGTTGGGTGGTGTTGTCTGCATGTTTGAACATTGTTCTCATGGACGTCCTATGCTTTCCCAGAGCCAATGCGGAGAGCGCAACCATAAGCCCAAAAACAAAAAGCCAAACCAAAACCCAAACCACCAACCCCCAAGACAAATCCAAAAGAATCCCAGGCAAAGCACTCCAGGCAAAAAGCCTGGGAAACATTCTACATTTTTGCTGATTGTGGTTTAGTGGTTGAAATCCAAATCCACTGAGCCGCTTTTTTTTTTTGGTTGCCCCCTTCCAACGTCAACCAAGCCCAACCCCTGCAAATAACCCCCCTCCCCCCCTCGAGGGCCTCGCAGCTGGTGATGCGGGACTTTACGGCCAAGGAGCTGCAAGTGCTCACCGCCCGGGCGCCCAGCCGATCTTCGCAGGGGGGGCGATTTGGGGCTGCCCTTTACCGATTCTTTTTTGGCGAAGGGTTCCCCTACTAAAATAGACTACAGCAAGAAGGGTACCCTTATTCTAACCTCTCTACTGGAGGACCTAGTTGGTTTGCGAAATTGCTTCAAGTCTCCTAAGTCCAACCGGAACTAAAGAAGCACGTCTATTACACCAGCATAGACCCCAGATAGCATAAAACAGGTCGACATTTTGCCTGCGCAGCGTGACACATGTAAGCCGGTAGGTTCGCCCGGTCTTCGAGCAAGACTCCGGTGAGTCAAGTGTGGGCATAAAAGCTCCAAGCAACCCGCCAAGGATATGCGTGCTTGTCAGCAAACGAAATGAAAGTTGCAAAAAGACAGTAGCATGCAGAACATAGCAAGTTGTTCGAAGCTACATGTTGTCATCATTAAAGAAATCCTTGGCTGTGGGCCAGCACACGCAAACCCTTCAATTTGTTCGGCCACCCCCGTGCAAAAAACAAAGACTATCCGGCATCTAGACTCTGGCCCCGTCAAAGGAATTCTAGGCCACCCCAAAGCACACCGAGTTTCCTCACATGTGTGCCAACACATGCAATGAACAAAATCCGTCAGACGGACGCGGCCGCTCACCCGTGCTAAAGAGCTCATCAACGGCATCCGGCCTTCCGAGATGGCAGACGGGGTATGAACTTGGTGCGGGAAAAAGAAAGCCTTCGAAACAAAAGACCGCCGGAAAGTTCTCCAAGGGGCCAATGCAAAAGTGGTAGCCTTCTCGTGCTTACAACAACGCCCAAAATGGATGAACCGAGCTCCAACGCCAAAATGGCCGCGCGCGCGTTCACGGCGACCGCGCAGCAAACCGAAAGGGTTCTTAAACGGGTAAAAATAGAGGCACTAACAAGAGTCGCCCAAAACACCTGCTGACTCCACCCACAAATGGATTCGATGAGCATGGCCAAAGACATTAAAAAAAATTAAAAGAACAAACATTTGTTTGAGGGTTTCCCCTTGTTTTGGAGCACTCTCGCCTGCAGCCGTACGTTTCAATGGATGGGAAACACAAGGCAGCCTTCAAATTTCAAAAAAACAAACTGGCAAACAACAGCAAGATCAAGCTATGTCATCAGAACAAAAACTGCGCAACGGCGGTCGTGACGGCTTCTCAAGGCAATGTCAAGATCTTGGGTCTGAAGGTCACCTTACGTGACTGCATGTGCGGCTCAAACAAGCACGGCGAGCATTTGGCTTTGCCTTCTGCATGTGAATTGCACAAGCTGCTAACTGTCGGCCTCCCACTCTGCCTTGAACCTGCGCCACGGCTTGCCAGACACTGCAAGCTCCTTCTCAGCTGTCATTCTGGATGGAAAGTGGCCATTCCGGCGCGCCCAACGAAAAACGTTCTTCTTCTTTTTCTCCAAAGCCTGTGCCGTGGTCCCACCGCCTGCATGCGCAGCTCCACCTCTGGCGCCGCTTGCAGAGCGCAAGGCTTTCAGAGCTTTCATGGCCACTTTTCCGCTGCCCTGAGGATTCTCATTACGCACCTTCTTCTTGGCTGCAAGAGCCTTCTTCCAAGAAGTCTCGGTGCAAGTGTCACTGCAGAATTCCGTGTTCTGTG